TGGCGCGGGACGCTGCCGGGCCAGCAGCCGGGGCGGCGGCAGCGTCGGCAGCAGCAGCGGCAGCTACATCTGCACAGGGCGCTATGCAAGGTGTGATGGTTGGGGGAGGAGTCCCTCAGGGCTTCATTATCTGTGACCAGAGTGGTAGAGTTATCCAACAAGAGGGCCAGAGTGTTCAGTTTTGGCAGGACGGACAAATGGTTCAAGCTGTGGTGACAGCTCGACCTATCCAAAGTTCTGCGTCTGAAATGTCTTTGAGAAGTAGCGACAAACAGGCCGATTCGAAGATAATGAAAAAACAGAATTCCATGCCTCGGTTGAGAGATGGTTCAGAGGAAGACTCTGTGAGGAAAATCACCGACAGCTGTGTCCAAACGGATGATGAAGACGGAGACGACAGATACATGAACAGACGCAGGAGAACCAGACGTATCGCAGACTGCAGTGTGCAGACAGATGAAGAGGACCAGGGAGAATGGGAACAACAACCGGTGAGACGCAGACGATCACGGGTATCGAAGCACTCCGAATCAAGTGAGACTAAATCAGAAGGCCTGTCTAAAGTGGGCTCTTCAAGTATAGCGATTCAGACCACGAACGATTCATCATGTCAGACAGAGCCTGAACAATTAGGTAGGGTTTCACCTGCAATTCACATAACAAGCGCAGAGACCTCAAAAGTCGACCTGTTGCATTATATAGCTGCTCCTGAAAGGACCCAGAAAGGAGAAAGTCTGGCCTGCCAGACGGAACCAGAGTCTCATTCTCACGGTGTGGTGACCCCTCAGCTGAATGTCCCCACAACCATCAGTCCATACTCCACAAGCCTACATATGGTGGGTGGAAACACATCAGATCCAACCTCTCCTAGGCTCCAAGGGGTGGCTAAGTTTGAGAGAAGGAAGCCAGACCCCTTAGACATTGGCTATCAACACCAACAAAATGAAAGTTCCCGCCATCCTCCCAAATCTCCTCAGGTACTATACTCCCCTGTGTCACCATTGTCGCCTCATCGAATGCTCGAGACAACGTTTGCCTCACAGGAGAAACTCAATAAGGCCCATGTCACACCACAACAGAAGGCCTTCACAGCTGAGTCCCCCCAACGCCACCAGTCTTTACCAAGGCCAATAAAAAGTGTGCAGCGTTCCATGTCAGACCCTAAACCTCTCAGCCCGACGTCAGAGGAACCCATCAAGAACAGGTTCTCACCGTATCACCAGCAGGCTCTGCCAAACAGCCAGGTATGAATATGAACCTTCTAGTATCATTAAAATGACATTTCCGTGAATAAAAAAATAGGAATAACAGACCGAGAAAGAAAGTTTTAAAATTAAAGTCAAAGAAAATTTAGTGCACAGAGATTAAAACCTTTAACATTTGATTTTTTTTTAAATTTTAGGATAAAGACTGATAAAATATCATCCCATTTTTTTAAAAAAAATTTAGGATAAAGACTGATAAAATATCATATAATATTCTTATGTTCACATTCATTTGGTTTTCTGTCCAAAACAGTTGCAGTTTCTCTAAAGAATTAGTCACAAAGACAGAGAGCAGCTGGTCTTGCCAGACTTTTTTTTTTTCTCCTTCTGCCTGGTCGCCAAGTTTCTATCACCACATTATTCTCACACTTTTCTCACTTCACTTTTCTTTTCTTTTTTTTCTTCTTATCTGGCATCCCTTTATGAATTACCCAAGGGTGGCACTGAATTTTTAAATTTGAGCAGAGGATCAATAAACATATGTTACTCTGGACTCAAATGTATTCTGACACAATTATACAAATCATGTTACAGCATAGCATATTTTAGGACAATTGAAATTACTGCAATCATTTTCACCAAGATATTACCCTAAGTAGAATTTTTAATAAAACCATTTAACAATTAATCTCTGTAAAAAATATTTTCTTAAAACTGATTGTTGGACCATTGGCTTTGCAGAAGAATATAATAAAAATAGTAAAATCCCTACATCATAATAGAACTATTAACGCGTTAGTGTTGTTGGGGAATGACTACAATTTGCATATATTAAGAGAGAACCCAGCACACTGTAATGAGTCATTTACATAAGCATGTTCTGTTTATAGCTCTGTGTTCGCTGATGTATATCTGCTTCACCTAACAGATGGCCTCCCTGCAGCACCAGAACTCCCTCATGAGGAAAGTAAAGAGGACTCTCCCGAGCCCCCCTCCAGAGGAATCTCCCCACCCCATTGTCACTCCAGCACAAATATACAGCACTCCGGGCATATCCCAGAGGGTTCTAACCAAACCCTCCCCGGGGGTCACCAAAGCCGGTCTGCTGAATGAACTGAAAGCTGTGGAGCAAGAGTCGTCAAAACTCCGCAAGCAGCAAGCCGAACTAGAGGAAGAAGAGAAAGAGATCGACGCCAAGCTGCGTTACCTAGAGCTAGGCATCACCCAGCGTAAGGAGACCATGGTGAAAGAGCGGGAGAGGAGAGAGCTGGCCTACATCAGATGTATGGGTGATGCTCGGGACTACATGTCGGACAGTGAGCTAAATAGGATGGGTGCTGCAACAGGGAACTATGACATTAATGGTCTTTTGACCAGACCCAGTACTGCACCACTAAGTCAGTTCTCCAGTGACCTTAACGTCGCTGCTCATTATCCCTCAACCTCGTCCTATATGGCTTATTCTTATGCTCAAAGTCAACCGTCGACACAGCAGCCGACCTCTGCCTACCAACAGATAGGCTTCCAGCCTCCTCCATACCCTTTATCATCAGCTCCCCAGCCAGGAACCTTCCAGCCGCATCCTCCTCCAGGGCCAACTTACCAGAACCAGGGAACATATTCATCCCGCATGTATGCTCAGCCCTCTTACCAGACTGACCTTGGCATGCAACAGCAACATAGTCACCAAGGATTCCATCAGCCCACTCAGCCATTACCTGGCCAGAGTCTTCCCTATCCGAACCACACCTCTTACCAACCCGGCCTTCCCTACCAGCCCCAGGCAGACATCCTCACGGTTCATCAAAGACCGAGGCAAACATCTCTAGCTGACCTTGAGCAGAAACTTCCAACCAACTATGAAGTTGTCAACAACCCATCTGTGTCAGTCGCAACATCAGTGCCGGATCCCAGCTTCGGCCATGCGGTCTACAACAATGCTTATGGACAATACCGCCCCCCAGAGGCTGGCATAGCTCACTCTGCAGACAGCCCCACCTCCGCTTATGGTTCTGATGGGATGTACACCTCCAACCTGGAGCAGAACATTCCTAGGAACTACGTTATGATTGATGACATTAGTGAATTAACAAAAGACAACAATAACCAACCTGCTGATGCCCTGAGTCATCCTGCAGGAGTGAGATATCGTACGGAGAACGGACCTGCTCGTGGAAACTCCTACGGTAGGCCTGAAGATGAGTCTGTGGATGCTTACGGCCGACATACGAGCTCAGCTGCTTACCAAAGCACAGGGGAGAGTTATAATAACACCACAGTGAGTGGAGGCTCTTCCTACTACCACGACGATTATAAACACTCCTCACGGAGCTCCTCCAGTAGTCACAAACACACCACCAAGAACCTTGCCCCCGCTGTAGTCTCATCTAAACGCAGTAAACACAGAAAGCAGGGAATGGAGCAAAAAATATCCAAATTTTCTCCCATTGAGGAAGCACGAGATGTGGAGTCCGACCTCGCCTCTTATACAATAACCACATCAACGGGGGACAGTTGTACGGTCGTGTCCCGATCCAGGAAGCATCAGGATGACGCCTATGGGATGAAGAAAAACACATATGACCAGCAGAAATATTACGGCACCAGTCATGAGGCTCTAGAGGAAGAGGACCGCATGTATAGTTCCGGAAGGTCAAGGTCTACTGGATACGGTATGGACAAGATTTCCTCCAGAGACGCCACAGGCCACAGGAGTAAATCTTATGAAAGGGACGCAATGGAACGATCTCAGAGAAGCAGTCGTAGTGGAAGGCCTCCTATGCGCAACCAGAATTCCGAAGAGGAAAGCCCACTTAGTCCTGTCGGAAAACCTGTTGGTATGGGAAGAACCTCTGGTGCAACAGACTCAAATGACGTAAGGAATCAGTACGGCTCCAGCCACTCACTCCCAGATGTGCAGGACCATTACAAGAAGGACTTGCCCAGAAGTCATGTCTATAAACCAGATGACCCTTACCTGGTAGATGACATGCAGTGTGCTGTTTCTGACAGTGAAGGTAACTGGTGCTGAATATTCTTTTTTCAGTTAGGCATGTTACTCCCATCTTTATGATACACTTAAAAGATACTGCATGTCAAGCATGAAGCTTCGGCGAACACAGGTGATTCATTTTTCTTTCAATTTTTATGTCATTTTATTTGATCAGCCGGTCGTGTCATTTTTCAGTTTTCTTTCATATTTTTTCCAGTGTGATGTCTTTTTTTTTAATGTTGTTAATGGAGTCCTCAAATACATGCATGGCCCTGGGATGTGGAGCATGTTGTCTCAGTTATGTTGCATGGCTTCCATCTGCAAACCTGTGCTCCCAAAATGTAAAAGTTTTGTCTGATAATGTCTTTTTGGTTTCAAAACAAAAGCCTATCACCTGGGCCAAGAAGAGACTGACTGGTTTGAAAAGCCACGAGAAGCCTGTGCTGACCGCTCACGCCACCATGGAAGTGGAGGTCACTCTACCTCAGGTAGACGGAGTAAGCACACCTATCATGACTATGACGAACCTCCGGAGGAGTCAGGTCACCCTGACGATTACGGTCAACACCGTCACTCTTCCTCCACATCATCACGAGAACACCGTCACCACGGCGGCAGTTCTGGAAGACACAGTTCATCTCGTCACTCCTCGGAGGATCCGAGGTCCTCAAGAGCCTCCAGGGTCCACTCCAAGGACCCGTCCGGTCGCTCTGATGGGAGAACCGCTTCAGCAGCACAAAGAAGGAGTGCTCCGGACTCTCGATCTGCCCAAGACAGTCCTCGAAACTCAGGAGATTTCTCTCGTGAGACCCCCTCTGGACATCACCACGGCACTAGGGAACGGAGCCAGAGACCCCAAGGAGATCGGACAACTTCTAAGAGGCATGACCCTTCTGCAGCAGGACATAAACCACAGCAACAACAACAGCAACCACAACAGCAGCAGCAGCAGGGCCCTCAGGGTCATGTTGGTCAGCAAAGGTCAGGGGGTCAGAGCCAATCTGGTAGACATCCAGGCTCTGAACCACTGAACGGCACACAGCAGGCCCAACAGCATAGTGCACAACAACAGCAGCAGCAGCAGCAACAACAACAACAACAGCCACAGCAGCAGCAGCAACAACCAGGGCAACATGGACAGACCCTCCAGGGTAACCAGCCCCCCGCAGCCACTGCAGGAACTGGAGCTGCACAACAACAGACCAAACCTGGACAAACCCAACCACAAGGACGCCAACCTGGGATTGGATCTGCTGCAGGGCAGGCTGCTACCACAGGGGTCAGTAGACTTCAACTTAGCTTTTACTTATCGGTCGGCTGATATTATCGGACATCCCTATATTTATTATCGTTCTTGTTTGTAAAAACGTTCCCTCAGGTAAAGATGGACGCTACACCTGCACCAGCTGCAGTTAAACCCCCAGCAGGAGTACCAACAGCCCCCCCGCCCACCAAAATAGCCACACCTCCTCTGACTGGCATTGGTAAAGTTTCACTTCCATCAATTTTCTTTTTTCTTCGACTACACAATGACAGCTCCACAGTGATGATCATGTATTTGAAGGCTGCCTCGATCTATTTGCAGGATCCAAGGCCGCTCCCGTCGGCATTGGCAGTAAATCCACAGGTATTGGCAGCGCGGCGGCAGCAGGAGCGGGGCAAGCTGCTCCTGAAGGGGACAATGTCCTGACCAAAATACTGCAGGGAGGGGCAGCAGAGCAGGCAGGAAAACTTGGAGATGGTAAGAGTAATATTTAAATGTTCAGGATAAGACTTCGTTTTCTGATCCTTTTGATGTTCCGTGTTTTTAACTGTACCTCTGATCTTCCTTTTCACAGCTCTGTCTGGCCTCGGGAAGAAGTTCACTTCGTTTTGGTGAAAAGATCGGAGGGGGCGAAGGGAAGGGAAGGGAGGGGGGTGAGTGACTTTAAGCTTAAAATAACATTTACTTTCACTTCATCTTCGCCTTTTAAACTTTGACTTTAAAAAAACTGCTCAGGCTGGGAATACAGGCTGCAGCCGAGACTGAAGACTGGTCCAGGACTGGTCCAGGACTGGTCCAGGACTGGTCCAGGACTGGTCCAGGAGCAGATACCATAAGCAGCTCAGCCCCTGTTTTTGAGTCAGGATCTAAAATCCTCCAGAATGATCTTAGACTCAGTCCTACAGTTGACAGAACAGAATTGGGTCATATTTCTAATCTCTGTAAGGTGCTGAGCAGTACAGAGCCTTAAGAATTGAGCCCTACCACCCCCCCACTCCCCAAGAAAGGAAAATGGAGCTAAAGGCCTGACTGTGATTACCGTGGAACTCCTCTCTGACCTTCATATCTACAGGAGTTGGGAATCGTTTTAACAGTGAAACCATACATATTTATTATGAATAGTTTTTTTTTGTGTGTTCTTTTTTATTTTAGGTAAAATAAGATGGATTGGTAGCTTTGTAATTGAAAATCCTATGGACTGCAATATTACGGAAGCCGAGTCCTGAATGCATCAGTGAGTATCTCATTAACTTGTCTTTGTTTTATGTCGACTGTTTGTTTGTTTTTTTTAATTAAAGTCTCACTGTTGTGACACGTTCAGTGGTAATACGGTGAAAACAGGAGGTTATTAACGTAGATCAGACAGTAAGGAGGTGAAATAATGCCCCCTAGAGGTTCTGATGTTCTCTCCTCTCTTCTACTAAATCACTGAACAGAGCTGGAATCAAAGAAAACCCTCGTCAGCACTGAATTCCCCGGACGTGAATTAAAGGAACGGCACTGCTCCGTCAGCACTGGGCGTGGTGCCTTCACTGACCCTCCGTCCCAGGATAATGCTCGTGGACAGGACTGACACCTCACTTGTAAGTAATTAAAAATCTACATGAAGTAGAAGAGGGAACTGGGTACACACTAGAACCCACCGTGGTACTGTCTGAGGTACAGAGGACGACAGATGTTGTGGACCAAAAGGTTCCATGGATTGAGAACCCTCCAGAAGATTTAAAGAAGTATATATTTGTGATAATAACGAAGCTAAATTCTCTCTCACACCCAGCAGGTTTTTGTTCAGTGACAGTGACCGGCCTGCGGTCCAGATCTGTCTGCTGCGAAACACAAGACAAAAAGACAAAAAACTGCAGTTCCAGCTGCTGATTTTTATGTTTTTGTTATTAGTGAATCTATCAATTATTAACTTAAAAAAAAGCAAAAATCAAGTATAAAGTATACATGTAAATATTAAATATTAAATACAGTACATGAAAACAACAAGAACTCTTTCATTAATGTGTAAATAAGTAACGTCATGTTTTCTGACTTGTAATAGAACCAGTGATTACTGGCAGTTAAATTAATGTAACAGTTAATTAAACTGAATCCATTCACGGTTTCAGACAATGAAACAGTGTGAGTTTGTGAACAGTGACGTTGGAGTCAGATCTTTGTCTGCGTGACACGAGGTCTGAACAGCAACTGTCCTCGTCGTCGTCGTTGTCGTTTTTGCTGATTATGTGTTGTTTGTTTGTTTGCTTCAGCATTTTTTATTTTTTATTGCTTCACTGTTTCACAACCAAGTCACAGCCCACATGAATTTGATACTTTAGGTCAAAGACGTAGGTCAGAGGTCAAAGACCTACAGTATCAAATTCACAAATAAAAAGGTCAGCACTTGTACTTCCCCTTTTGACCTTACACTGTGACACAGTAATCTGTGTCAAGCACACAAGGGTTATAATTAGCCCTAGCATGCTAACAGTGGCTGAGCTGTTTACTGTCACACACACACACACACACACACACTGACACACTGTGTGTCTTTGTAGCGGTGTAGTGTGTGTGTGTGTGTAGTTAAACCTGACTCACTGCTACTTTAAGCGGTGACTCATTAGCTCATCCACGAGGATTACTGCCCGGGGGGGGGGGGGCAGGAAGAAAAGTATAGCACTGATAATTGTTGTAAAAAAATGTTTATATTTATATGAAATTAAAGTGATACATTTTTAATTAATGTTTTAATTTTGCCGTGTTTTTGTTCCGGTAAACTTATTGGTTTGAATTTTAATCATGTTTCGTACGTCTGCGTCTTCACTCTCCATTTTACAGGAGCAGAACAGCAGTCAATAATGAGGATGCAGTGAAGCAGAGAGGAGCGGGGGAGGAGCGGGGGAGTAAACCCTGCCTCCCCCTCCTCCTCTCTGAGAGAAAGTCTCCTGGGACGTGTTTGTCAGTGAAGGCACCGCGGAAATAAGTCACCTGCAAAACAGGCAGGAAATTCAGCAAATTTCACAGCGTAGGAAGCTACACAGCGCCCTCTACCAGGATTTCAGAGGAACAAACCCGACGTCTAAGGACGACTGACGAGGATTCCTGATTCTACACTGATGCATTCCAAGACTTCCAAGAAACCCATCGGTATTTTCTTGTAACAAAGACACCAACCCGGAACCAAAACGACATTTTTGCTAAAGCTACGACCGTGACGACAAATTCTACGACTCCACCACTACTCCTGAATGCTCGTTTCCTGTTTTCTACAGTACATTCCAATATCGGGAATTTTCCCCTCTTCTCTGAATGTGTTTTTTCTTTCTCCTCTTTTTGACGTGGACAGAATGCTCCGTGTAAATATGGACAAACGATCGCACGCACAGATATTTGAAGAAAAAAAAAAGATTTAAAAAAAGTCAATGTTTTTTGTTTTTGTTTTTTTTCTCCACCATTTATGAGATGCCACTAATCATTAGCGAAGGATGTCAAGGGAAGAGAATTATTACCAGCGTGCCCACAGGTGTGAGCGTCACACGGACGAGGAGACCAAGCGAAGGCGTGGTCGCGGCGCTTTAACGGCCGTGAATCGTAAAGCCATGGTTTCAGTCAGACCTGGAAACGTCTGGGACTCTTTTTTTTTATATAGTTTGTGACCTTTTTTTTTGCCTCATATTTTGCCTGACACTCGTTGAATGGAAGAGCCTTACGAAGTCTGCGTTTTTACCTCATACGTACGTAGTTTTTTTCGCGTTTCTTTTTACACGACTGTAAATGATATGTACATAAAACCAAGCAGAGAATCTACTGATGTAAATTTGTCCTCGTGTATTTAACAGGTCTTTGTTGATTTGTTTTGTTCTGTTTTTGTAAATCTATATATTTTTCTTTTTTTTGTTTCTGAATTCCTTTTCTTGCATCGGATCATTTGCTCGTTGATTTTTTTTTTTTTTAAAGCAATAGCATGCAGAAAATGGTATATAGCACAATGTTATGAATCTTGTTTTCAGTTCCTGAAGGAAAATATCACTTATGTCGATAAAAACTCGTAACATGAATCTGTCAGAGGGTTTACAGACGCAGTACCGTGTCGGGGCGTACGACACACACACACACTCTCTCTCTCTCTCTCACATAAACGCGACACACACTCGGCTCCTGGTCACTCTCCAGAGCCGAGGTTGAGTTCGTCACTGAATGGACCCGTGAACCATCTGTTGATCACATGGTCACCGATACACCAAGATGATCACAATAACAAGCTGGTCCCACTGCCTCTATTTGTGCAAAGAAGCATTACATACACACACACACACACACATATATTAGGTATATTTGCCATTGAATAACACTGAATTTAATGCCTGTTTTTTTATTTTTATTTTTAATAGAATTATTGGTTTAAACAAACCCACGGTGGTTCAGGCAGCGTTGCACTTGTAACGTTATTTTGAGCACACACGTAGAGTTTGTTCCCTGTTTGACTGCGTTCACAGTTATGAGTGCGGCTTTGAGTCTTGTACGTATTATGGTATGTACTCTTATCTATTCATAACTGCAGTACTCTTAAGTACTTAAGTACTTTTTACCTGGCTAACTACTAAAACCAGAAACCAGAACCATTAATTCAACTCTACTACGACTAGTCCTTACAGCATAACATAGACAAGAACACACACACACACACACACACACACACACACACACACCAGAGAATGAAAGCAATTATCAGTTCCAACGTTCTATGCAATGACTCATCTCAAACCCGGACGTAATTCAATCTCAATCAGCTCATTTAACTCATTCAAATCACAAGAAGAAGAAGAAAAAAAAAAAACGACTAAATTATTAACTCTACCAGTGAAAAAAAAATCCTGACTTTTTTTTTTGTCTGTTTGTTTGTTTGTTTTTTTGTTAAGCAACTTGTCTGTATGAATTGATGAATATTGAATATTGACTATAATTGTTTTTATTTTCGTGGCATGTATTTACTCACACCCACCACACGTGGGCCTCGTTGCCAAAGGGTAAACTGTGTGGACTGTTGGTTTTGAATGTCCGTCGTCATCATCACGTTGCTTTGAAGCATGGGTTTTGCTTGGCTTGGTCTGGCTGTTCGTGCGCCCTCACGCCGGGCTCCTCAGTGTGACGCTTCAGTGACGCTCCGCTCCGTGTGGCTGTAAACCTCGTGATACGGACGGTCAGAACTTCCCATTAATTAATGTGTCAATGTACATAGTGGGTGTCAGTATAACCTGTGGGGTCGATGGAATGCTTCTGTCAGATATTTCATTGTTGACGACATCACTCAGCAGCCAAACCATTCAAACGGTGCATGATTAGATCTTATATTCATGGAATTTGTGCCTGAATTTAAAAAAAATAAAGAAAAAATAGGGATGTCCGATATTAACATTTTGCCGATATCCGATATGCCAATATTGTCCAAACACTTAGTGATTTCTGATTCCGTTATCAACCGATACTGATATAGCGGGGCAGTGGTGCCCTGGTGGTAAAGGAAGTGAAGTGCAGCCTGCTCACTAAGGTGATGGGTTAAAGCAGTGTTTCTCAATTATTTTCTGCCATGCTCCCCCTAGGGGACAGAGGTTTTTTCACCCCCCGAACTTAAATACTATTAAGGGCCTGGTAATATTTATTAATTTTTTTGGTATAAACCACTGTATGTCTATATAGCTACTGATTTTTAAAATAAATTAAAATTACCTGCAATGCTGCCATCTAGTGATTTTCACTTTAATGACAGCCGTTTTTCCTCAAAAAATTATTTTTCAAGTTTTTTTTTTAAGTCACACATCATTTGGCCAAACCCAGGCATCGCGTTATCGGCTTTTCATTATTAAATAAAAAACTGCTAACAATTCTTACAGATATTACATAATTTTGCTAATGTCGGTCGGCCGATATTATCGGACATCCCTTAAAAAAAAAAAGAAGAATAAGGCATGATTATGAATCTAACAAGGTTTCGAACCTTGACTTTCAAGGGCCAACAAAGGGAACATCGATGGGTGAAATATTTAGCCGTCGTTCATAAATCAGGATACGTCGATACAGAAAGCACAAATGCCTGACTGGTTTGAAAAGCGGAGGTTGTGGAAGGCGGTGCGACGGAGCCCGCGGCTAAACGGTCTGTTAGCACGACAGGTGATACGACGTCAATAAGACGAGCATTTGATGGAACAGCCTCTGGGGGGCAGACAGACACACACACTCTTACTGTAAATACAAACTCATTCTTCTGTACAGGTTTTCAGTTCGGAGTACGGCCCCATGTGCACCCCCGCCCGCCGTATTTGCTGCCAAGTTTTGTGTAAAGAAAAAAAAAAGACGACATTTATTACCACATGATGGGGATGATGAGAAATCTAATGATGATGATTAATATGGTTATAATTACTGCATAAACATAGTGTATGTGGCTGACTCATTTTGACTGTTTGCAACAGTGGATTTAAATGTGTATCCAGAAGCATCCAGTCCGTGTAGAGCTGTAGTGTATCGTAAAAATCGACAAAAAAAAAAAAAAAGAAAGAAAGAAATCAACCTGGAAGGCGGTGCATGAACTTAGTCGGACCACCAGGAGGTCCTGGATTTGATGGCTTGGATTTTCGAGGCGATTTTCAATGTGGATAAAAAAAGATGAAGAAATTAAAAATTGGGGAAAATGTCATTCACTGTTGTAAGTTCAAAGGACAGACGCGTCAGTCATGTATCCATGGTGAAACCTGCTGTTCTATTCAGTGTATCTCTGTAAACAGATAAGAGTAACATTTCTGGTGCATCATGTCGAGTAATGTGATTGAAAAAAAAAAAAAAATGAACCCTGCAATTTCCAGAGAAAAGAATAAAAAAGAAAATGAACACAATGTGATTATTATTTAACGTGTGTGTGTGTGTGTGTGTGTGTGTGTGTGTAGTAAAACTGCACAGTCACTTTACTGCAGACGAGAGAAAAAATGAGATTCAGTTCGGATGAAGATTTAAACCAGTGTGG